GGTATATATTGGTATAACCACAGGATTATTATACGCCTAACTGGGCTATCACATCCATCTTTGAATTTTGTGGTTCACACCCTATCAACCTACGGGACTCGTCGAGCATTCACTCCATGGCACCTACTAAACAGTACTCCAGTGTAACTTTCCCACCTTGCTTTGTAGCGCATTGAGTGTTAGCCGTTGAAGAAGCACTAAGACAACCCATATATCAGCTGCATTACAACCTTATTGCTCATGTCGATACGTCGCCCGTCGCAATCGCTGCGCTGCAGACAATGCACCAGTGAAGGTGTCTACGTCCACCTGTGTACATGCGATTTAGCTGTTTGACCTACCGCGCTTACATGTGCCAGTCGTAGTCTGCCTGTTGCCTCGTGTGCGCCATGTGTCCACAGCATGCGATTGGTAGTGTGGACAAGCGCCATCATCAACTGTCGGCTGTGTCAGAATGTGAGTAGCCAGGGTCCCTATTCGACAACTGCCACTGTTATACTGGTGCGGTGGATCGCCCCCGTACACTGACCCCATTTCCTCTTATCCTGCCGTTGGTGACCTCAGACATTAACAAATTAGTACCCCCATCCCCCGTCAGGTGGTACGTCACTGCCCATGTGGCAAATCGCACACGAGCAACTCCGTGCCCAATACATGCATGCACGTTGCTATGTCTACTATGCATCCGTTATGCTAGTGGCTGGTGGCACTTGGCTAAGAAAACATCCGCACGGTGAAGCGCGCATGTCCCAATCGCCTGGCTCAACTTGAGTCATCGGAAGGACTAACCTGTTAGCACTTGTGCTTCAACTGGAAGAGGAGATGCCAGGTAAAAGCACGGCTGTTCTTGTTGAGTGGCTCAACGAGATCTCTCGTGTCCCTTTGAAACTACAACAACGTCTGGATATGGTGCGTGACTTCGTATTTCCCAAATTGCCTCATGAGTTGGTTCTGGGGAACGCTCATCGGAATACCATGCGGCAGATGGATAAGATGTTACGAGCCAAACTGCGGGAGTGGATGCGTTACCCGAAAGATGTTTCGCTGCCTTTTCTTTACACGATTCGGTGCCTGTGGTTCTCGGCTTTCTGTTGTGGAATATTCTTGCTCCTTTTGCTCACAGAGCCAAGTTCGGTCGGCGATGTTCTTCACCGTGGCCGTTGGTGCGGGTGCTTCTGGAGACAGAGACGTGCAAGGTTGACATCAGAAGTGCCAATATTTCAGTCCACCTAATGGGGACTGTGATGAAGGATAAGAAGGCCGTTCAGGGTTTCTGGAGAGAGAAACGTGAGTCGAAGTAAGACTGCAAAGGTTTACAACTAGACAAACAAGATACGGTTAGTAGCCAGTGGATGTCATCGGGCCGGATGGTTTTCCCCCGCCTCTTTATTCGTGCTACCAAGTTAAGGGGCGGACTCTTGCCAACGAAGCTGCGGAGCTCCAGGCGGATTTCCCAGAAGACTGATGATGTCAAGTGCCGTGGTGGTTGTGGGGAGCCAGAGTCTATCGGGCACATCTTGCAGAGGTGTTGCCTTACCCATGACGCCCGGTGCATGAGACACAATCGAGTGATATGGAAAATTGCCCAGAGGAAGCATGCGACAATATATGTTGAGTCCATCATTCCACTACCGGTGAAATACTGTAAACCGGATCTCACAATGTGCGCCAAAGGGTCGATACTTGTTGCAGACGTGGCTATCACATCTGCGCACAGACAAGAGCTGGCATACCGTGAGGAAGTTGCCAAGTATACGGAGGCATACAATTCGATACGGGCCTACCTTGGTGGCAAGGGTGTCCAAATGACCAATGTGGTGCATTGGCAATCATCATCTCGGACGGTAGTTATATTTGGAAGGGTTCTGTTGGAGCTCTTCGTCGTGTTGGATTATTAGACCGTGACATCTCTGAGTTAGCTCTACTGGTCATCGCGGGGACATTGAAGTGTCATGGCGTATATATGCGGGGTACCTAATCGTCTCTCACTTTCTGTTCGTCACAGGTACCGAGGAGGAACACTGTGAAGCGGAAAGCCCAAACCTTCGGGAGGCCGACGCTGATGGGCAACGGTGTGAGAAACTTGCGTTCGAGGACGCTCTCGGAGCTTCGGAAAGACAAATGAAGATGGATTATCTTTGGAAGGATTACCATTGGTGTTCTCCCTATCCCCATGAACCTTCTTACACATTCCGTGGCACTTGAACATTCACTTCAGTGCATGAACTGCATGACCATTTTTGTTTATTTTGTACCCGTTTTGATTACTCGGCCCAGTATTTTTTCTATTAAGTGGACAGGATTTGTCAAACCGAACTCCGAAAATATATGATAAAGGTGAAATTGATATCTGGTTAGCTCAATTTGTCGCCTGTATGGCCTAACGTCCCTTGGAAATGGTATAGTTACCGTTGTCGTCCTGAAACCAACTGGTGACGTTTGCTAATTGTATTTAAGAGTTGTGCCATCTACATGAATTCTTAGCAGGTTTTTTTTATTTGATCTCGTCATACCAAGTGACTGGCTGCTGCTTGAGGTACGCGGTGTGGCTGTGCTTTATGTGCATGTCGGCAATGTGCCTGCCTGTCATTTACCACCACCTTGTCTACACTGTCTCTAGGTCACAGTAAGTCGTTGTTCGGGGGGACGGGTTACACCGTGCCCTTGAACTTGTTATGCTCGAACATTGATTCTGTGCACATTGTTTGTGTGTGGGGGGCGGACTACGGTCCAGTCACCGCCTTTTGTGAGTTTGTTTCCCTAAATGCAGCGTGCGTGTGTTTGCAATGAAGGATTGTGGGTCGGCCTTGTTGATGAAATGTGTCTCTCATCCACATGCCACCCGGTCTTATTCCTTCATGCTTACATTAGATCTGGGGTGTAAGATGGAGCTAAGGATGGTGCAGCGCATGTCACGGTTGGTCCTTCTGTAGGCGCAAGCGTCGTGTGGCTGTCCGCGTGGAGGCCGCAGTGACAGACAAATGCGAAGCCGGATCCCGCCAACCACCTACCCTAATTTTAATGTTGCTAGTAACATATTAGTGGTTTGTGCCACCTCTCAGGCTCCTTTCATCCCAGTTCAGTTGACGACTGCTCTTAAGTGGTTTACACTTGTTGTGTGCGTAGACAAAAGCACACAATATTCCAAACAGATCCAGGTGTATTTAAAGTAAATTGCGGTCAGTTAATCCAATGAAATGCAACTGAGGTATATCTGTGTCAAATGTTGCTCTTTTCTAACCCCACATTACATGACCCTTTCAATTATGTTTGCAGCCTCCAGGTAGATATGTCCAGTCTGTAGCTCGCACAGGAGGTGTAGCGTTTGTCACTGTCTGCCTTCATAAGTGCAATATAGGTCAGGGACTAATCACTTTTATTTCTGAAATGTTGTCTGTGGTTATGAATTACAATGACACGAAAGAGTTGAATTGATGAACAACATTTATCCGTACCGTGCACTGGTCTTTAAGCACGCTCCAACAACTTCGTTTTCGATGAGCCCCGTCTGATACTTAAGTACTCCGGGGTTGCTACTTTTCAGACTACAGCTTTTTGTAACGTCATTCACACTCAGTGAAGATCTAGCTGAATGCTTTAGGCAAATTTAAACAGAAGAGACTTTGGATTTTCTTCTTCCCTTGACTTCTTGGGGAGTGCAAAGTCTCAGGTGGTTCTTGATTTCCGGAGTTTACACATTATCGAACGGTGATGTCACTCCTATGTTACGCACATGTTACTTGCTCTATGCCTTATAGCACATCAAACATGTTCTTTGGCTGTTTATCCACGTAAATATTTCTTTTTGATGTCTCAGTTAAATGGGATCAATCCGCTTAGATTGTACCCACGTTGTTGCGTCACCTTGCCTGTCCAGTGAGACAACTCCGTTTTATTGTCATTGATTGAAGTAACTCAAAACACAGCTAGACTATGGAGTGTCCTTCCGTATAACTGAAGATTCGTCCAACCAGTACCACCAAAGGATATTTCAATATGAAAATCCTGGTATACTTGTGTTTCCACATACCCATTTGGGGCGGTTAGTAGAAAATAGCAACAGAACGTAATATCGGTCTTCTCTGGGTGACGTATCAGCAAGCAAGACTACAGGTATCGGCCATGAAGTTCTTGTTCAAAATGGCTCCGTTCAGATAAATTCCTTATTAACATAAATTCAAACTACTTATGTCCATGGGTTATCGCTCGGAGGAGCACCCGGATGCCCGAGCACACGCAGGATACAATAAAAAAGTCTCGCAAACATTATCTCTTACCGGCAAAACACTCACCTACTGGTTTGGACATAGCTGCTAGCCTTTTTCTCAGCAACCACAAACAATAGGCAGTCTTACTAGTTGTCAAAAATGCACGCTGTAATATATCGAATGCTTATAGAAAACGACAGACGCTCACTTGTCCCCTTTCTGTCTCTTTAGTACAGAAGTTCAAATTATCTTTTTTGTCTTTTTTTTCCTATTTGACCGCCTAGTCCATAATGCCGTTTGCTAGGGCGGAAACGTACTCAAGTTTACCAATTAACGTTTGAAATTCCTTTGTATTCAGTCAAACTGAAGTTTGATTTCCTCTCACATATTGTGTGCAAGTATTGAGAGTCGACTAGTGTTGCGTAGTAATGTTGGTTATGATGCTGTGCTGGGTTTATTCTTCAGAAAAGTCAAGCCTGTCTACAAAATGACAGTGACGATCGCCTACTGGGGGCCATCTGATATGCGTGCAGTATGCATTATATGAAGTCTGGGTGATTACACACGGATCATGCACGTGTCCTTAACAATAACGTCATGGTGAAACACAAAATCAGTACATGACAAAGAAAACTATGAAACCATAAAATATTCTAGTGACAAGCCCACAAATGTAGTGCTATGTTTGAAAATATAAATTCGTTAATTTGTCATGAAAAAAGATGTGGAAAGGTATTATGTGGTTAGGCTTGAATAGGTCCTGAGCATCCGTTACACATGCTGGTTGGATCTTCAAGGAAACGCTTCGGAGGCCGACATAAGGTCATCTGTAGGAGACTCATATTCGAACAGAAGAAATCCGGAGAAGGTGGAGTACATATATCCGTGCAGAAAATGTGCACCCTCTCGGATGCTTAGCCATGCCGTATCTCCCTTCTCCATGTGCAGTACAGCTTGGTTAGTAGCGGTAGACCACGGTGCACTCTCCGACCAAATATCCAAAACCACTTGTTCATTGTGCATTAAGCGGACGGCAGCCTGAGTGAGACAAAACAGGACAAAAGTTTACTTGACGAGAAAAGTTTTCAGACATCAAAGGAATTTTGTTTGTGTTGTACCTGCATGCTATGCTATCATGTTTGGTATCGCGGTTGATACGGCCCAGTTGATGAGTCTTATTTTGTAGCTATATTTCACGCTCAAATTGACGACTGTATGTTTCGCTCTATGTTCACACGATTTGTTAGTTTTCAAGGTGAAAAGCGGTTGCAGTAAGTGACAAGCAATGCTTTTCTTAGTTTGCATTCATAATCAACCGCAGACAAACGCTGCGCTGATCACCGTCAGACAGTAAAAGGGATGGCTGCACAATCCTCAATGATGAGGTCAAACTCCACGTCTGAGAACAAGCACAAAATTGCTCTTAAGTGTGTTCCGAGATTGTCTCCGGAGTATAGGCAACTAGACTGAATTTCATCCATTAGACATACTGGCGCAACCAAATCGTTGATCAGAACCCTGCGCCCATGACCAAGGACTTTGCAGTCCCTATTCAGGACAACAGGTTACCAACGGCGGATTTCTAGAAACATGTGGTCATAATGTTTGGTCCTAAGCAATACACAGTAGTGGGGGCGGCGGTGCGGGCTAGTGAACTTGACTAACCTGTAATGCATAGAATTATTCAGGGCTAAGCACCTCACTGATATTCTCGTTTACATGGCGCATGATCCGAATGACATGGGAGGAGTGCTATATAAAGTGTTACAAGATCTCAAATTCGTCTAACAAAAACATTGTGCAATGGTTATAAGAGGTATGGTGCAAACGGAAAAACTTGTAACCCTCTTAGTGTATGAATGATTTGACGAACTCTGGATTTTCCTTGTGCAGAAATGGCCACCGTAAGGGAGTAAACTCCGCTCACGGGAGCCACGAATTCCCCGGTTTGCGCATTGTATGCGTGACCCACGTTGGTGATGACCTTCTTCATGATGACTTTGGTGTTAGGATCACTCGGCTTCTCCACAATGTTAAGTTCTAAACCGGCGAAGAATGCCACTTGCGTTTCCATCCTGCGCATCTGCTGAACCAACTTGTGAATGAGTTCGTGCGGTATAGACAAATCTAGAATGCAATCGGAAGTTCACTGACGTTACAACAAAAGTGCGAGCGCATAAGAAACGAGCAAATTTGTTATTTCCGAGTGCTATCAATGTCTCAAAAGAATTCAGCAAAAATGAGTGACATTCGTTAGTTCCGCAACATTCGTCAGGTACTTGTAGTACGTTATTCGTTCAGACCTTCCTTAATCTCTTCGCAAGTGGTAGTCATGAATGCACAGAGTCTAACTGGCAGACCAACCGGTTTGGCATGTCTGGACAGTCTCCACCCACTGATGCTATCTAATTGGTATGAAAAGAACTGTCGCTCGAATTTGCGGTGGGCAACCAAACATGAATGGAACAATGTATATGCAGAGCCATCAACTACAAGTTACCAAGTCAACAGTAACTAAGCAACGGATTGATGATGAACCGAACCAGATAGTTGTCATGTGCTGCTCCTGTGAGTACAGCATTCCTCTGATTTAAATTCTCTTTACTGCAAACAGGAGTTAAACAATAGGAATTATAAAACTAATCATTCTGCGTATAAACAACCGCTCTCTCCGTTTTACATTCCAACTAACCCATTTTAAGCTGGGGCCTCACTTTAGCATACCATGGAGCGCACACATAAGGTGAATTGGGACGCTATAGTGCTTTCGAGTCGACTGCGCGACACACAGAGCTGATTGCCATGCTGTGTGAACAAAAGTCAACTATGACAACTGACGTACAGCTGAAAGCTGCAAATTCGGCAAACTTCTCCGACAAAGCTTAACCTTGAAAACCTCTTCACCCACATCTATCTTACCTTCTGGCTAGCTTGCCGAACAACCTCCTCGTGGTGCAAGCTGGGTTGTTCGGGATTTTCCCGTTCCAGCAAATGGTTCACTGGCCGTGTTCCAGGACGTGGTGGGTTTTCACCTGACAAGCGTTCTCCCTATAAAAAGCCACGTGGATCCGTTTAACAAAACTGTGATGTGGCGGACGTGACTCCCCATCAAATAAAGTCACTGCCCATTGTTTCATCCTGGCGAAGCATTGTATTCCAGTAAATTTATGTTGTGATTATGGGGAGTATTGGGCCACTGTTTGACAAAAGAACAATCGAAAGGCGTATGAACTGAGCAGTCAGTCAACGGCTATCATGCGGGCAGGCTATTCAGCCAATGGCTCAGGGTGTTGTCCCCTAAGTCAACACCCTACTTTGGCTTGCGTAACTGGGTAGTATCTCTCCCTCTGACGAAACCATGGACTTTGCTGTTTTGTGTTTGTTTTCTTTTACTATTTGTGTACTTTCTTTTGAGTCCCATGGTTTCTGATGGCTCTATGTCTATTCATAGACCGTTGCATATATATATATATATATATATATATATATATATATATATGTATATATATAAAGCTTACCTTCTAATTAGTACAAAACTGTGGAGCTGCACTGCAATTACTACTATGCCTTCATCCTGCATGTCACCTACTGCCTGAAAAGAGGAAGAAGTAGCTGCCATGCTGCCCCGACGATACTGATAAATTTCTCTTTTCTATCCATCAACGTTCGTCAAAAACCGGAATACAAATTGCTGTATATTAGCAGTCAGTATCGTCAGAAAACTTGTATCTTAGCTATTTTCTCTTCGGTGACATTAACCTGGCTAAATCCAGATGTTCAGTACTGTTCTACTGAACACACGTATACTGGGCTTCGGTAGTATACGCCGATAGGCTATGAAGTGATGGGACGCTGCTGGAATGTTGTCGATTACTCCGCACTTACGAAGACACTCTTGACTCCACGTTTCATTCTACTGGAGTATAGTGTACTTTGTGACACGAGTAATAATTGGCTCTTTTCTACCCCGTACGTCCCATTCAGTCGCACGGGTTTTACTGTAACAAACATACTACCGTGGAGGCATCATTGTATTTCCTGAACAAAGGAACCCATACCTGATATGACACGTTAAAAGCGCATGGAATGCTTCATCGCACATACCTACCTGCTTATGTCACCAGGACGGAAATATCTATTACTCAGTAGGCCAAAAAAGACCGCTGCGTTTCAAGGATGTATTGTTCGCTCTCAAGTCCCAAGAGGGCCATGCTTTTGGTCACACGTAAGGTGTAGTCCAAAAACTCTCATATGGTTGCGAAGAGTATTCAACATTGGACACATTCAGGATTAGCCACAACACGAAGTACAAGCAGCAATGTGTCTTGGTACTATGTAAAGAATAAAGCTATACTTGATATCCCTTTCCAGCCATATTGGAGTTTGCTATTTTGCAGTCAACAGCCACCCGCAGGTCCTGCTAGTTGTGGTGGTTCAGGTACTTAGCTTGCTGTCTCCAAGTCATCGTTTTGGAACTGTATCGATGACGGCAGGCTCATAGTATCCCAATCTCCATCTGACCTCTGATAGTTAGGTGACCTCAACACAGTGTACTGAGTTTCGCGATAGTGCAACTATACCGTTGTACAGGATAGCTAGCCCGCCGCAAGCAGTTGCTTCGATAGTTGCAAAAGATTGCTCTTAATTCATTTTATGCTTTGATTAAAGATTAGTAGCGCAGTTTTTGAATGATAAGAAGTTGGCGCGGCCGCTGATTGATTTCATCGTTTTGCGGATAACCTGCTTGTAGCCCAGCACTTTCCATCAGACGCACGAAATTACGCGAAAAATTCGGCAGTATCCGAGATCGAACTAAAAGATCACATGCTAGGTTGTTACTTTTTGATGGTTAACCTAACCCTGAAACATTTATTACTCTTTTCACACTAACGTGAATGAGTTTACTGTAGAACTCTCCTGGACTAAGTGTGAAACCTAAACGATTGTCATCAATCCACTCTGCAAACAAATGTTTCAAATCCAGAAATGTTTACGGACTAATCCGCGCTGACATTGTGTTTTTCATTATATTTTTCACGAAATGTTGATATCGGATTAAAAATATGAATGTAATTATTCTTCCTTCTCTCCGAAACTTGCTTCGAGATAAGGGCTTCGTGATTCTAGGTTTGCATCTACTTATCGAGTTGAACTGAGCTGGACAGCGGCCGGTAGAGCGGAATGTTCTCTAAGAACATCGGTCCAGATGGCCCTTTTGCGGTGCCACAGATACAGGTTTTTAAGCAAGAACTTCGACGTGATACCCAATAGCTTCCGCAATACCCTCTCTTTAGGCCAAATGGGTTAAACGATGTATTGAAGCAATGCCCGATTCAAATACGACGCAGTCAGATCTGGGAATTTTTGCATTTTGTTAAACAAGACGCTGCAGAGAAACACAGATCTGCACAAACTTTCAACTTCGCAAGAGCGAATCTGCAATCCACCTAGTCATCAACATCCACCAGAATACACATATCTTTCGAGATAACCAAAACTGCATGAAGCAATCCGAGAGGTACACGAATTAAGAAGGAATAAGTAAGTTTTTCCGAAATCGGCGCTGTTGGCTTGATGTACGTAATCACGCGCAACAGTTGAACTAGAATGTCTCTTTGTAATATAAATACTTTGGTGGAAGTGACGGTAGGAAGAAATAAGAAGGTAGTAAATAAAGCCCCCGGAATTTCATGAGGAGAGGTGAGTTATACTATTAAGGGTTTGATTTATTCCCCAAGTAAACCTCTATCACAAGCGCAAGGAGCAGAACATGCTTTTTTACTCGATAACTTCATAAGGGCAAACCGAACCAGAAAGTGCTCAGCCACTTGTCTCATTGTCTTTGAAATTCGCCAGTCTGATATCTACCAGCTCAAACTGTCCACGTGGTAGAGACAACCGAACTGTCTCCTTAGTTTTTGCTTTTGTGGTTGGTGATTATTTTTCGCTTAGTTGGATTCATTTATTTCTACTGGTATGCTACCAGTGGTCAATAAGTGTCCGAACCTTAAGGAAAGCAAGCAGTATTCGTGCGTTTTTGCATATATATGTAAGAACGCTGTCTCCCATATTGCGTCACATCTATGCTGCTTCAGCTAGTTTGGAAAATTAACCCATTTTTACACTGCAAATGTTGGTTACCCAGCCAGCCACTAGCAAACAGAAGTAGGTAGTGCAAATCATGGCCACTGCATTTCGACAAATGCGTTTATTAGTCAACGTATTCTTAGCATATTTAGGGAAGCATTAAACGTATCTTTATTAGTTTGTTTACTAGACAAGCTGCTCATGGTTTAAATATATGGGAAGTATCGCTGGTTGTGTACAACACCGGAGTTCTTTTCAGCCATGTGGTAGTAAATTTTTCCACCCAAAGTTGCACCGTGCATGAACCCCACATGGCATATCTCTAAATCCCGTGTACATCGGAATCCCTTGGATTCAACGTACCTCTTAGCATGTTGCTAGTGAAACTTCGAGAAACCTCTGGAATTAAGATGCATTATATCTATTATTTAATGAACTTATGTTATTTGATAGTGCAAGATAGCATCCATCTGGGTGTCTGATCGGTTTGTAGGGCCGGATGGATATAACGGATTATTGTTCGAATATTCCCCCGCATAACAAACACATCATGTTCTCTATACTAGAAATGTTAAGAAGTGATCATTAGATTGGAACTATGTATTCGCTGCACATATAGGAGAATAAATTTCATCGCGATTCTTAAGTTTTTAACATGGGCAATCACTTCTGCTCTGCGACATTTCGGTTCCACAACTCGAGCAGCTGTGATCAGCACCATAGGTTAAAAAACGTTATTAGAATTTGATAAGGAGGCTATGAGGACAGGTTGTCATACATCCGCAAACACCGCCTTCTCGCCCCAATGTTGAGCTCTCTAGACATCACACAGAGGTATGTTGAGATAACCATTTCCTATACCACAAGCCTAAACTCAGCGCACTGCTATGCCACGATATATTTTGGCTGCATTGGTTAACATATTTATACGAATCAGTAGGTACAGTGTCAGGCACGTGTTGAAGCCGACTCTCAGTCAGTGATTGCCAATCCTAC